CTGGTTGGAAGTGCTGTGCCTGCCACGAAATCTGCCCATGGAGGTTCACAAAGTGCTCGACGCTCACAAAGTGCTGTGCCTGCCACGAAATCTGCACATGGAGGTTCACAAAGTGCTGCACCTGCCACGAAATCTGCACATGGAGGTTCACAAAGTGCTGCGCCTGCCACGAAATCTGCACATGGAGGTTCACAAAGTGCTGCACCTGCCACGACATCTGCACATGGAGGTTCACAAAGTGACAAGTGAAAACTCTAATCCCAATGGAGGGACGATTCCGAGAATGACCCGAGACCGTCTCGCACCCGTCGTTCCGCAAACCTTGACTTGCCAGCTTCGGAGCCACCGGTTCCATTGAAAAATACAGCATTTCGTGCGTTCGCTATCTCTCCACAACGCAGTTTGTATTGCGCCTGCCACGAAATCTGCACATGGAGGTGCACAAAGTGCTGTGCCTGCCACGAAATCTGCACACGGAGGTTCCCAAAGTGCTGCACCTACCACGTGGAGGCGCACAAAGTGCTGTGCCTGCCACGAAATCTGCACATGGAGGTTCACAAAGTGCTGCACCTGCCACGAAATCTGCACATGGAGGTTCCCAAAGTGCTGTGCCTGCCAGGAAATCTGCACATGGAGGTTCCCAAAGTGCTGTGCCTGCCAGGAAATCTGCACATGGAGGTACACAAAGTGCTGCACATGGAGGTTCACAAAGTGCTGCACCTGCCACGAAATCTGCACTTCAAGAAACAAGTGAAAGCTCTAATCCCAATGGACGGACGATTCCGAGCATGATCCGAGCATGATCCGAGCATGACCCGAGACCGTCTCGCAACCGTCGTTCCGCAGACCTTGACTTGCCAGCTTTGGAGCCACCGGTTCCATTGAAAAATACAGCATTTCGTGCCTGCGCTATCTCTCCACAACCCATTTTGTCTTGCGCCTGCCACGAAATCTGCACATGGAGGTGCACAAAGTGCTGAGCCTGCCACGAAATCTGCACATGGAGGTTCACAAAGTGCTGCACCTGCCACGAAATCTGCACATGGAGGTTCCCAAAGCGCTGCACCTGCCACGAAATCTGCACATGGAGGTTCCCAAAGTGCTGTGCCTGCCAGGAAATCTGCACATGGAGGTACACAAAGTGCTGCACCTGCCACGAAATCTGCACATGGAGGTTCACAAAGTGCTGCACCTGCCACGAAATCTGCACTTCAAGAAACAAGTGAAAACTCTAATCCCAATGGACGGACGATTCCGAGCATGATCCGAGCATGACCCGAGACTCGTTCCGCAGACCTTGACTTGCCAGCTTCGGAGCCACCGGTTCCATTGAAAAATACAGCATTTCGTGCCTTCGCTATCTCTCCACAACCCATTTTGTCTTGCGCCTGCCACGAAATCTGCACATGGAGGTGCACAAAGTGCTGTGCCTGCCACGAAATCTGCACATGGAGGTTCACAAAGTGCTGCACCTACCACGACATCTGCACATGGAGGTTCACAAAGTGCTGCACCTGCCACGAAATCTGCACATGGAGGTTCACAAAGTGCTGCACCTGCCACGAGCTTGAGCTGGTGTATGAGCGGTGTATGATGAGTGGTGTATGATGGGTGATGTGTGATCAGTCGTGTATGATGAGTGGTGTATGAGGAGTAGTGTATGATGAGTAGTGTATGATGAGTGGTGTATGATGAGTAGTGTATGATGAGTGGTGTATGATGAGTGGTGTATGATGAGTGGTGTATGATGAGT